ACTTCGTTTCCCCAGCATGTAACATTTTTGACTTGTAAAAAGCATCTGACCGCACCGATCTTGGTGTGATCAAATCCTTTTTAGGGCAGAGGAGAGATCTGGGGTTTAATAGATCCCACATTTCTTCATAAAGACAACCTGTCACCGCTTATTGTTATCACAGGGGATATTTACATTCCCTGTGATAACAATAAAAGTGCTAAAAAAAAAAAAAACTAAACAGTGTAAAAATAAATAAAAGACATTTTTAAAGTGGCCCCGTCCCACTGTGCTCGCGAACAAAAGGTGAACACGGATTGCAAAACACATGTGAGGTATCACCGTGTTTGAGCGAGAGCAAAAATTCTAGCACCAGACCTCCTGTAAAAATCTAAAATTATAAAATGTAAAAGCTTTTAAAGCGTCTGCTATGGTGGTTTTTAGGTTGTCACCATTCCACGAGTGTGATTCATTTTATTGCATGACGTGTTAGGCATCTATTTACTCGGTGTAACATCATCTTTTTTGTTTTACCAAATAATTAGTATTATATTGTGTTTTTGTGGATTAAAAATAAACTGTATTTTTTCCAAATGAATTGCGCAAATACTTTGTGACATAAAAAATTGCAACAGCTGTCATTTTATTCTCTAGGGCTTCTGCTAAATAAATATATAGATGTATAGATAGATAGACAGATAGATAGATACAGATATATATGCTAATAACTCATTAGATTTTTTCTTCGCCAACTGTGTCACTTTGTGATGATTTCCCTTCAGTTCCTGTCTCATAGCCTACATTGGAAGATTTTCCATCTATTACTTTTCTGGGGACAACCCAAAGTGTGGGATTTTTTTTTTACCTTTATTTTCAATGATAATGGTAAACAGCACAAATAGAGAGGGTGATCCTCCCTAACGGGGTCACTGACAGCAACAAAAACTGACAGGAGTTCTAGTTCCTCCCCACTCCAATCCAAAACTGAAAAAAATCATTTTGCCTTTTGTCACAATCGCACGGTCGCCGCCACCAACCTGCGTATTCAACCCAGGCAGTCAAGCAGGACGCACCGGAATGCCCAGATAAACCAGCCTCCACACAGCCCCTGAACACACATCCCAAACTAAGGCAAGATATGATGTGAAACAATATAAGATTATTTGGTTACTGTATTTAATAGCTCACACAATCCATAATATGCTCCAGTATGGCAAATATGAACATATTTATACCATAGACACAAATAAATTCAATAGAAAATAAGAACAAATAAATAGATAAATAAAAGACAGGAGTGAGGTCTCAGAGACATGGCTTGAAACTTATGGTTTTATTTAAACAAGACGACTTTGTGGCCTCCAACTGGAATATGCGTTTGGGTTCCAGTTGTAGGAGTCGTTTATCGATATTTCCACCCCTCGGAGAATGTGGTACATGCTCTAATGTAAAAAACCTGATGGCATCAAGATTGAAGTTATGATAGAGGTCTACATGCCGACTTACAGAGGTGACCATTTTACCATTTTTTATAAGATAAATGTGATCTTTGATCCTTTTCCAAAATGGTCTTCTTGTTTTTCCCACATAAAAAGCATTGCATATACAGCTCATGTAATATACCACGCCAACAGTTTGGATTGCAGTTTTGGATGGCAGAAAATGGACTGCCATCCAAAACTTTATAAAATTAATTGCATGGCGTGGAGTCCATTTTCTGCCATCTGACAGAGAGATGTTTCTACCCATATGGATCCAATTACAGAATTACAGAATCCCCCCCCCCCCCCATATGGGAAGGTACCCCTCCGTTTGACAATGGGGGTGTATAGACTCCTGCAAGTAACTATGCATTAGATAGTCCTGTGAAGAACCCAGCCCACCTAAAAGTGATCTGGGGATTTTCACCAATATATCTCGCAACCAACGGATCATCTCTCTAAAGTTGCCAATGTTGATGGAGAATATTGGACACACAGGAATTGTGTTGTGAACAGCGAGTTACAATCCATGCGGTATTCATTGGGAAGTTCTTTTTGGTGCATGGTTTAAAAGATTCTCGTGATCTAAGTTTGGCTTTCTGGTAGGCCTTCTTCAAACATTTATTGCTATAGCCCCTTTGTAATAGTCAGTTTTGTAAACGTTTAGTGAATCTCAAAATCCTCCTCCTTTGAACAATTTCTTTTAATCCTTGGGTACTGGCCATAGGGGATACTGTTTTTATTTTGAATGTTTTTTTAAGGGATACTGTTTTTAAGTTGCACTGTTAGAATGTAGGATTGAAAAACTCACTTTTGGCGGCTGATGGTTTCCAATATATAATCTGAAATGTGAAATAGAGGACATCGCACAGCTGACCATCACTGATCTCAACATCCAGAAAAGTGACCCTAGCTTGGTCACATGTCATGGTAAACTTGAGATTATAAATGAATTACTATTGATGAAATTCATGAAGGCATCCAATGCTCTCCTGTGAACCAGTCCATTTCATGAAAATGTTGTCAGAAAATATACCTATGCCATTGATGATGAAAAATAGGACACAGATTTCCACCTACATGATATTCCTCAAAGAACAATGATCTCTCCCACCCCCTCAGGTACAGGTTGGTGTACGACAGGGCACAAGGTGTCCCCGTCGCCACCCCCTGCACCTGGAGGTAGTAGGAGTCATCAAAAACAAAAACATTCCTGAATAGAATGTATTGAAGCAATTCTAATATGAACCCATTATGATGATTGTTTTTTCTCCTTTAGAAAATTTTTAATTGTGGCCACTTCCAAGCAATGTGGAATGGAGCTGTAAAGTGCCTCCACATCAATGGAAACCAACTAATATTTAGGCATGACCATTTCCTCAATGATCCTAAGAGGATCTCTCATATCTTGTACATAGGAGGGCAAGGAAATAACAAAGAGTCTCAGATAGTCATCGATTCATTTACTGGCATTTTCTGAAAATAAAGCCAATACCTGACACTATGGGCCATCTTGGAGGGGTTTTTTTTAAGTTCTTTTGTATCAGTGTTATTTTATTTGGGACATTCAAATTTTCAAAAAGGTTCTTATTAATAATTCCCCCATTAAGGGCTTTCCTAATAATAGTTCTAAATTTCTAGATTGTAAGCTCCAAGGAACTTGTGTTGAACTTGTGTTGAACTGTGTTGTTGCTGTGTTGTCTCCCGTTATATTGTAAAGCGCTGAACAAAGTGTTGGAGCTATATAAATCCTGTATAATAATAATAAATTCATCTTGATATGTCTTGATCTTAGTCTTGGGTATACGTTTTTACCATTCCGGATTTTTAAAGACATCTTGACACATCTTGACACACCCGGGGCGATCCAGCACTACCACATTGCCTTTGTCTGAGGGTTTTATAATAATTTCAGTTTTTTCGTAACTTCTCCAATGCCTGTGTTTGATTTGGAGTGAGGTTCAAAGTGCCCAAGGATATGTCATTTATCTGTTTTATGTCGTGAAGTACTTGCTGGACAAATGCCTAGATGCGTCCTGCATCCACAGACGTAATGGATGAAGCTGGTACTTCCAGAGTTGAATACTGTAACGAGGGTAAGAATTGTGATTTCTTATGGTATTCAACACTGGATGCACCAGCTTCATCCATTACGTCTGTGGATGCAGGAATTGAGACCTCTTCCCACAAGAGCATTAGGTCTCTAAGGGCTGTAAAATCATTGATCAAAAATTTCTTCCATAATTTAAGGTTGTGACCTAAGGATTGCTGTGGAGTGATGGTTTTTTTTTCATAAATTACATTTAAAGTGAGCTTTCTGCCAAGTAATATGACAAAATTTATCAAAATGATCAGCTTGTTGTGTTGGTCGAAAACTAAGTCCCAAACTTAGAACTGACTCTTCTTCCTTAGAAAGTACATATGAGGACAAACTAGTGATACGTAACTGATCATTCAGTGATTCTTTTTGACCACAGATGGGTCCAATTTGCCTGTCCTTCTGGTGTCGCCAAAAGGGGGTGGTGCCTGGAGGGATGCAAAGAAAAATTAGCTTTATTGGTTGAATAATTTTTTTAATCCACCAGACTGACTGTCGCTGCTGCACCACTGCCCATGTTAAATGAACTTGCACCGCCACCGAAGTTAGAAAACGTGAGAGAAGGGGGTACGGTTTGAGAAAAAGGAAGAAATATAGGCAGGGTGGGGGTTAAACCCCCAAACAAAGTAAAATCACCCGTGCTAAGGTTCTGTCTTTTTTTTACACGTATTGTGTGGAACACGCCCTTTGTGGTTGTGCTTCTTAGAGGCAAGATGCTCTGAGACCCAAGAAATAGTAGAATCGTCCTGTTGTGATGATTAAGAAGATAATAAAGATGTTACATCAGTGTCAAAATCAGTGATAGACTCAACAGGTGTGACATTTGATGCCCCTGAAGGTAGTGGCGTGGGGGGCGGACTAGTTTGTTCCTAGTGGTTTTTTGCCATTTGTACGCTTTCCCAGTATCATAGGCAAGTAAATCCCAAGCCATTTTTTTATTCTTGCTCAAAACTATCTTTCTGTTAAATTGTTCAATAAACTCATTGAGGTCTTAAATTTTGTCCTCAAACTGGGGACAAGACCTCAATGCGGCATATTGAAGATCAATGGCATGTATCTGTTCATCCAGCATCTTAATGTCTTTATCATAGTTGTCTTTTAAGATGTTTATCATGCGAATAGAGCAGTTCTGTAAATTGTCCTCCCATATCACTTCCATTTCTGCATGGACTACTGGTACATTCGGAAAAATTTGGATACGAAATTCAATTTGACTTTTTGCTATTAAACATGTCCAGTAAAAAAATTTTAAAAATCAAATTTCATCATAAATTTACACCAAAATGTATTCTGCTACATGTCTTTGCTAAAAAAAAATCCCAATACGCGTAAATTAATCGGTTTATGTGAAAGTTATAGCGTTTACAAATGGCGGGTATATTTACTGGGATTTTGTTTTTTTTTACTAGTAATGGCAGCGATCAGTGACTTATAGCGGAACTGCGGGACTGTGGTGGACATTCTGACACTGGGGGGAAGTGACTTGGTGTCACTGACATCCCCAGTGACACCAATACAGTGATCAGTGCTAAAAAAAAGTACTGATACTGTACTAATGGCACTGGGCAGGAAGGGGTTAACATGAGGGGCGATCAAAGGGCTAACTGTGTGCGGGGTGTGTTTTATTATGGGGTGGTGTCTGTGTGCTTCACTGTAAGCACACTGCTTTTGATGACTGTGCTGTGCACAGCCATCCAAAGTGCTGTGCCCGAGCTAACAGGCTGGAGAACTGTTAGTAAACAAAACAGTTCTCCTCCCTGTTGGAGATTCTCTGAAATCACCAGGCAGCGGGGAGTAATCACCTGCTGGGACCTGGTGATTGACAGCCGCGGCCACGAATCGCCCCTACCTGGAAATGCAAAATCACGTATATATACGTGATTTTGCGCATCCATGCCGCCCTGTAGCAGTATTTCTGCTATAGGGTGGTTGGGAAGCGGTTAAAGTGGACCTAACATCAGACAAATGTTTCTTTATTAAGTGCTTGCATGCTAAAATAATGTGTATGTGTAAGCCCTTACTTATGGGTGTGTACTATTCTGCAAGTCTGTGCAAATGCCATATTTTCTTGCATGGAGATGCACAGGTGTTCCATGCATTCCTGTGCAGGCCCTCTCATTGATGTCTATTGGGCTGTAGTGGCTGCATGGACACAGCCGCTGCTCCCAATTTGACAACTGTGTGGGTGCAGGTGCATGGCTCAGAACGCAGACGATATATGCACGGCTCTCAGATTGAGAGCAACAGCTGTGTCCATGCAGCTGCTGTGTCCCAATTGACAAGAATGGGGCTACCTGCACAGGAATGCACAGAACACCTGTGCATCCCCCTGTAGGCAAACACAGCTTGTTCTGTCCCCACATGAAGGCGAATAAAGGTATAACTGATAATGGCTGTGTAACTTCCTACCTTCGTATCCAAGCAGTGGAGCAGACCGGACCGGCAGATGCTCAGGTTAGACGGATCCAAACGTATACACGGAAATGAAATCAGCGTGGGTTTATTTGGTCCAAATACAGCGACAAACAGTGATACAATACTGTAATGTAGTAGAGGTATTGATGCTGTCCTGTTATATGTTTCCTGAGGCTAACTGCTGGTCAAAAACTGATGCCTTCACAAGCCCAGGGTATTGAATGTCCTGTCACACAGCTATAAAGCACATAAAAATGGCTGCAGGAAGTGACCAGAACCAAGGCTTGCCTAAAACCACACCCAGCAGAGAAAACACTTACTAGCTATAACAGAGGCATGCAGCATGCAAATTCTGGCCAGCAGATGGCAGCAACAGATCAAGACATAGAAACAAACATGGTGAAATAAGAATTGGTGATACAATGCACAGTTAAATAACAAATATGAGGGGAACAGCACACTCCCCGTCTGAAATTCCATAAGGGATTTCACTATGACGAATGTCCATAAAATATAAAACAACCTGTAACAAAGAACATGTTAGAATGCAATAAACATAACAATATAGTAGATTCCAAGTTGGGATAGAGAAGAACCACAAAGTTCAAGTTCAGTAGAGTTCACCCAGCAGGAATGTTCTCGATGGGTAGTATCAAAATGAGTTCATTAATTGGCCTTGCGAACATTTTAAGCTCACCCTTTCTGAAGATCTTCAACTCCACTTTACGGACCTTGCCATCCTTGCTAGGAAGAACCTTTGTAATTAGTCCCATAGGCCAGTCAATCCGTGCGGTGTGTTTGCTCCTTCATTACCACGAGGTCACCTTCTTTTAGGTTTGGTTTGTGCTGTTGCCACTAGAGATGAGCGAATCGAAGTAGCCGAAGTGGAATTCGAGTCGAATATCGGAAAATGGCGGCGGACATGTGCGGCGACGGAGCGGGGATGTCTGGGAAGGCGCGCAGACAAGGCGCGCTGACCCATAATGCATTCCTCAATGACATGTGATCGCATCAGCCAATCAGCAGCCAGCCAGCCAGCACTGGGGGCAGAGTTAGGGCCACAGAAACGTACTTGGGGAAGAGAAAGTTAGTTGGGACAGGAACCTTTTCAGGCACAGAAATGTTTGGAGGCCCCAGAATCGTTTTTAGGGGGCAAAGAAACGCTAGTTTGGGCCACAGAATTTTATCAGGGACAGACAAAATTGTTTGAGTGCAGGAATTTTT